TATTTAACTTGAACAATATAACTATATATCTTGTGAAAAGCTAACTACTAGCATCGTCAATAAAGTGTGTATCGAGTGTCACTTGATGATTGCTACAATAAAATTCCCTACAAACATGTATAGCATTGATATACTGACTTTTAGTTATTCAGCCTATTTGGCCATTTTCTCTACCCTGGGTGCCATCCCCAGTAGTATTCGCCCGCTAGCTTACAACCATGGTGGTAGCTAGCGACATTATAGATGGCAACCAGGCTAATTTTCTACTACATGTTCAACGAAGCTCCTCGCAGCAACCTACTACTAACAGGTACATTTTTGTGGATTTGATTGAAAAAACAGAAGGTTAACGTTAATGTATTATAATGTGACTACAGTAAATATTGGAAAAGCGTTATTGTCAAATGTGGATTAATAATAGCCTCTACCAGACTTTCGGAAGCGGCTAGAAAGAGGAGTTGGTCCGCGCTATTAAAGAGAACAGTTTGACTCTACCGTACAAAAATTTCATGCAATTAATTTTTTTTTATCAGTAGACCATCGCAGACTTCTAATTTCTTTTCTGTGAGCGACGCGAGTCGGAGTTATGTCGCGGGGACGGTTTTGCCGCCGAGGAATTTTGCCGGGAGAGACGGTTTCACCGCAAAGAAAGTCCCTCGCGGCGGTAAAACCGTTCCGGCGGCATAACTCGCGTCACTCGACCGAAAAAGATAACGTCGCCGCATCAGAAGTCTGCGAAGGAGGCTATGAAAACTGGAGCGCCAAAATGATTTTTGATCGAGAATATAAAGGGCGGGCGCCCCAGAGAGAGTGTCATAGTAAATGGTCAGTGAGCAAATAGGACAAGGACACATACCAATATGTCCGAGTGGTTGGCGTGAAAGATAAAGGGTTTGGACAGCCTGGGTTTGGGCGGCGGATTCTCCCCCCCGACAAAAAAAAAATCTATCGTTAATATGAACGCCAGCGTCTGGCACCCAAGCAGATTCCTTTCGGTGGCAAGACAGTCATGATCCATTAGCCAGAGAAGGGTCGGGGGGGGTA